TCCCCGTCCCCTCAGGAACCGCCTCCCTCTATGGGGTTCCCTCTGTGGCAACAGCTCCCGTGATTCCTGGTTTACGGGCGGCGCCTGATCCCGCCACTAATCACTTCATCCCACTCGTTTCCCCAAAGCCGCCCCGGCCGCCGCCTGAAACGGCCTTTGTGGTTTCGCCTGTTTACACGGCGACTCTCCACTCCCTGCTCACGTCCTCGCTCAGCTCCCGGAGCGCAGCGGCATGAATGGCCGGCTTAGGGCTGGGTCTCCAGCACCCGGGGAGGAGACGGAGCAAACGCCTGCGGAAGGGACACCCGTCCATTAGGAGGCCGCGCCTCACGCCTGAGGGGGTACATCTCTCCGGTGTCTCCGGCCTCTCTCGGCCTCTCCCCAGGGCTGCTAACAGACACCGAGAGTGTGAACAAACCCTGTGCCCATCCCACTGTGGCTCCGTTCACTTCCTGCCCCGACGGACGTCGCCTCGCCGCGGTCACTGGCCGGCTGCTAGGAGAGCCCTGCCTCTCCCGCTCAGAGCAGGAAATAGCACGTCGGGGAGAGACACGCCGCCCACGTCGCACCTGCTGGCGTCCACACGCCCGGGCCCTCGGCCTGCGGCTCTACAAGGCCCAGGGGTCGGCACGATGCTCACAGCCGGTTCCTGGCACCCTCCCTGGACGCCCAGTGAGGTTCCCATCGCTCTGCGGTCACAGGTGACTCTGCCTCCCAGCCCGGTACAGCCCGGACCCCCAAGCAGAACAAGGAAATCGGCACTCAGGGCATCTTGGCCCCGTTTCTGCCAGAACAGCCAGCCCTCGGCCTGCGGCTCTACAAGGCCCAGGGGTCGGCACGATGCTCACAGCCGGTTCCTGGCACCCTCCCTGGACGCCCAGTGAGGTTCCCATCGCTCTGCGGTCACAGGTGACTCTGCCTCCCAGCCCGGTACAGCCCGGACCCCCAAGCAGAACAAGGAAATCGGCACTCAGGGCATCTTGGCCCCGTTTCTGCCAGAACAGCCAGCGACCCATGCCTTTGAGGTTGTGGGTGA